TTCGTCTCTACTAAGAATACAAAAACAAAATTAGCCGGGCATGGGGCGGGCGCCTGTAATCCCAGCTACTCGGGAGGCTGAGGCAGGAGAATGGTGTGAACCCGGGAGGCGGAGATTTCAGTGAGCATAGATCACGCCACCACACTCCAGCCTGGGCAACAGAGCGATACTGCATCTCAAAAAAAAAAAAAAAAAAAGATGTATAATAAAAGTGAATCTCCCTCCTTCCCAGGTCACCTAGCTGTCTCCCGTGTCAGAGATGTGCTGCACGTCTAAGCCCAGTCACCAAACACTTGCTGGCACCTCTATGGGCCAGACACCAGCTAGGTATCAGGATCCCGTGGTACTTTTTCAAAATATGAGACTCAGGACCCTCATCAGACCTTTGGAGGCAGAATTTCTAAAATTGGAGCCAGCCTGTGGCTGGGTGTGTTGGCTCACACCTGTAATCCCAGCACTTTGGGAGGCCAAGGTGGGAGGATCACTTGAGCCCAGGAGTTGGAGACCAGCCTTATTAGGAGACATAGCGAGACTGTCTCTAAATAATTTAAAAGTAAATTAAAAAATAAAATTGGAGCCCCAGTGTCTAGAATTTTTTTTCAGACAGGGTCTCTGTCACCCAGGCCGGAGTGCAGTGGTGCAAACTCAGCTGACTGCAGCCTCAGCCTCCTTGGCTCAAGCAATCCTCCAACCTGTTTCCAGAGTAGCTTGGACTATAGGTGTGTGCCACCATGGCTGGCTAATATTTGTAATTTTTGTAGAGATGAGATTTCACCATGTTGCCCAGGCTGGTCTCCAACTCCTGAGCTCAAGCAATCCACCAGCGTCAACCTTCCAGACTGCTGGGATTACAGGCATGAGCCACCGTGTCTGGCCTAGATTTTTTTTTTTTTTTTTTTTAAGCCAGCAACGTTTCTGCTGCTCACCTAGGCAGAGACCTCTCTACTCAGGATGCAACATCTAAACACCATTGCCATCTCTCCAGTACCAGACAGCCTGGTGGAGATGAGCCTGCAGCTGCACTCGTCACAGCCCCTGCTCATAGTGTGCAGACCGTACCCTGCATAGGGGATCCCGCTGAGGAGATGTGGGGCCTGAAATCCAGTCATACGCCACAACCAAGGCACATATTACATTCCCTCATCTTCCCAGGAGCAGGCACCACTTCCTAATTTACCATGTCACCTAATCAATACAAATACAGGGAGACCTGTGCTCTGCTGTGGGACACAGATAGGGGCTCCTCAGGATGTAGGAGTGACTTCATGAGAGTGACTTCCTGTAGGAGATAATGCTTGGGCCAAGTTTGATTTAGGGAGTAGAAGCAAAGAAGGCGCCTCTCTATTTACCTCCCAAACCCAAGCTACCCCACCCCACGCCCTACCCCATGACTCCCTGTGGTTATCAAGGGCACCACCATTCTCCTGGCCACTGACAGGGACACTTTAATAACAGTACACATTGGCCAGGCACGGTGGCTTACACCTGTCATCCCAGCACTTTGGGAGGCCGAGGTGGGTGGATCACCTGAGGTCAGGAGTTTGAGACCAGCCTGGCCAACATGGTGAAACCCCATCTCAGCTAAAAATACAAAAATTAGCCAGGCGTGGTGGTGGGTGCCTGTAATCCCAGCTACTTGGGAGGCTGAGGCAGGAGAATTGCTTGAATCCGGGAGGCAGAGGTTGCAGTGAGCCAAGTTCACACCATTGCCCTCCAGCCTGGGCAACAAGAACGAGATTGTGTCTCAGAAAAAATAAATGAAAACCAGTGCACATCAAGAAGTCCCTAGGGGACAGCTGGGGCATAAGGAGGTGTCAGCCATACATCAGACCAGTGTACCTGCCCTGGGCTGCTTGGGGTTGACCAGCTTGGTGTCCAGAAATGCCTGCTGGAGGGAGTCACAGTGCAGGAACCTTGTGCTCTTGGAAGATCTCCTGAGAGGCTCTGCAAAGCCAGAGTCCCTCTTAGCAAGTCGGATCCGAGCTATCAAAGTGTGGCTCGGGGATTGCTGCCAGCACACAAATTTTTACTGGTCTGCAGCGAGATAAGTACAGAAATTGAAAGTAAGCATTTAGAAACTTTTATGACAATTTTACAAGGTCTTGTCGAATGTTATTAAAATGAAGCTGAGGCTAGAATTTCACCTTTTTCATTTTTTTCTATTTAAACAAATTATTGTAGTAAAATATAGATAACATAAATGTACCATTTTAGCCATTTTTGAGCATACAATTTAGAAGTGCTTTCACAATATTGTGTAACTACTAGTATTACATAGTATATATTTTTAAAATTTTACAAAAGCATAAGTTAGCAGCAGATTAAACTTTTTTTCTTAAATTGAGCTTGAGAAGCTCTGGGCTAAATGGTAACCCATGGGGAAGCCTTGACGGTTTGGAGGCTCCTAATTGAGTCCATTGCTTGGCTTTTTTCCCCAAATCACGGAGTGGAGTTAGGTCCCAGAGAATGGCGTGGGCTGAGGCCCAGGCTCCCTCCTGGGCTAGAAAACTGGGCAGACGGGCATCACCCGTGAAGGGAGGCCAGCCAGGCACTGCACAGCCTGGGGCAGTGCTGTCCTGTGTGCCTGGGCCAGGAAGGCTGGGTGAGAGACCCGGGGGCATTTGGTTTAGAGGCCCAGCAGGCCTTCCTTCTAACTCAGTGTAGGGAGGCGATTGTTTAGAATCACAAAAATCTCAGCTTTAGCTGGGAGAACCCTCAGCGGCTCAGCTGTGGTGGCATCGGCCGGGCGCGGTGGCTCAAGCCTGTAATCCCAGCACTTTGGGAGGCCGAGGCGGGCGGATCACAAGGTCAGGAGATCGAGACCACAGTGAAACCCCGTCTCTACTAAAAATACAAAAAAAAAAATTAGCCGGGCGCGGTGGCGGGCGCCTGTAGTCCCAGCTACTCAGGAGGCTGAGGCAGGAGAATGGCGGGAACCCGGGAGGCGGAGCTTGCAGTGAGCCGAGATCGCGCCACTGCACTCCAGCCTGGGCAACAGCGTGAGACTCCGTCTCAAAAAAAAAAATAAATAAATAAAGAAGGAATCTGAGGTAAGAGAGAAAGGACTGGTTTGAGGTTGCAACCAGTTAGTGATGTAGTGATGGTCTCAAATACAGGCCTTTTAGTTCCTAGGCAGAAGCAGGGCAGAGATTTTTTTTTTTTTTTTTTTTTTTTTTTTAAAGACAGAGTCTCTGTCTCCCAGGCTGGAATGCAGTGGCGCAAACCGGGCTCACTGCAGCCTCTGCCTCCTGGGGTTTAATCTATTCTCCTGCCTCAGCCTCCTGAGTAGCTGGGATTGCAGGCGCCCCACCACCATGCCCAGCTAATTTGTGGGCCCCGCCCTGAATGAATCCTTAAAACAATCTTGGGAAGTAAATACTATTCTTTTTTATTCCATTTTATAGATGAGGAAACTGAGGTTCAGAGAGGGTTAGGTCACTTATCCACTGCTAATCAGAGGCAGAGCCAGCAGGCTGCTTGCTCTCTCAATGCCATTTTCCAGATGGCACGGTCCCATTCTGGCCTGAATTCAGGGGGCTCAATATGGCAGTGCCTGTGCTCACCTCTTTCCAGTTTTTTCCAAATGGTCTGTGACTCGGCCCTGGATATGCTCACCTAGCAGGATCTCCTGGGCTGCCGGGTCTGTCCCACAGACCCTGGCTGACTGACGATGAAATGAGTAGTCAGACACGTATGCAGTGTAACCGAAGCTGGATGACTGCCTGGCTCTAGTGGCCAGAGAGCAGCCCCCAGAAGCTGGAGCTGCTTGCTTTTACTCCATGCAGGCACAATGCCGAAAACCTGGAGCCCACACAACCTGTAGGTAATTAACATTTATTCTTCCGCTTTAGGGGAACTTCATGTGCAGATAATCAAAGGTCAGTTTCTGGTCAACATAAGTAAACAAGCCTGTTTAAGATAAATCCCCCCCACACTCCCTTGTACCTACTCCTTGCCCTCTGCCTCAGAGTTATAGAACAGCTGCCTTCAGCTGTTCTCTCCTGGAGCTTTGCAGAGCCCTCTGATCTTTCAGAGGGCCTGCTTTTCCCTATAGTTTCTCCCACCACTCTGACTGGTCTCCTACACTGAGCAATCAGGGAAGAGGGTTGGGATGTTGGTTCCAGTTTCTGACATACCTCATGTGTTGCATTCCCTATCCCAAGCTCCTTCCTCTCCCTTCTCTTTAGACCTCCAAGAGCTAGAAGTTTCCCTAAGAGACCACCCAAAACAAACCTCTCCATCCATGTATTCATTGAATACATCCTGGGGGAGGAGACAGACTATAAAAGAGATTCGGATGAGTGCTGTCAGGATGAAAAGGGTAATATAACAGACAATGACCGTGGGCAGGGGCAGTGTGTTCCTGGCAAAGGGAACTGCTAGTGCCAAGGCCTGAGGGCAGGAACTAGCAGGTATGAGGAAAGCGCCTAAGTGAGGCCCTCTTGGCTGGATGAGGTGGGCAAGGGGGACCCCATGCAAGGAGGTGCTCAGGGTCCAGCTGTTTAGCCTGGGGCCAGGGTAAGGGTTTGGTTATAGTCTGCATGATGCAAAGCTTCAAAGGGCTTTAAGGTGGGAGTGATGTGATCAGATTACTTGTGTAACGAATTCTTCAGCCACCAGGAGGAGAATGGATGGTAAGGAGAGCCGGAGTGCACAAGGGAGAGAGATGAGAGTGGCTTGGACAGTGAGGTGGAGGGTCATGGTCAGATTCAGGATCCAGATCATGGTGAAGCTAACAGGAACTGTTGGACTGGATGTGGGCATGGAGTGAGGGCTGACTCTTGGACTTTTCACTTGGGGAGTTGAGTGAAGGGAGGTGCTATCTACTCAAATGAAGAAGCCTGGAGAAGGAGTAGGTGTGGGAGGATGGGTAGAGGGGAACAATGGTTTCATTTGGCCATGATGGCAGACCTTGCTGGCTGCTCTCCCAGGACTGAGTCTCTCCTCCCTTATAACAGAAATCTAAAAGTGTTTTATTTTGTTGCTGTTGTTGTTTTTGAAATGAAAGGTCTCACATATTTATTACTGAACCCAGCCAACCAATGCATTCATAACAGATTCAGAAAGGAAAAATATATTCCCAGTAAAACATGTCTAATTCTCCAGATAATGGTGATGTTTTCAGCTTGATACGGTAATGTGATTGTGACCTTCAGACAGCATAAATGTGTGTGCCATCTCACGTGCAATTCCTTATAGACCCAGCTTGGTTCTTCTCCGATGTCTCCTTTTGGAGTTGTACCTGATTTTATTGCCAGTTTTCATCCTAATCCACTGGGGAATGGAACGATTTTGCTTTTGTTTCTTGGCCAGGAATCGCTTAATCCTGAAAGTCTTGTGAGAAGACATGGCAAGAAGCGGAGTCAAGCACACACCATGATGGTAGAGAAAGGAAGAGAGGGGCCATTGTTATTGTTGTTAAGTACTCACTTGTCTGGCTCCTTCTTGTACCTTCTGCCCTTTTCCCATCCTCCTTTTTTCTGGAACAGAGATGTGATACCTAGAAGTACAGCAGCCATCTTGTGATCATCAGGGTAAAAGTCACATAATGGCTGGGACAGGGAGATGGATAGATCCTGGGTCCTTGATAATATCATTGAGCTGACATACCAGTCTAGGCAAGTTGGTCATTTTACTTGTTTAAGCCACTGTTTTTGAGCCACCACCTCAGGCCCTTTGTGGCTTTTCATTGCTTGCTGCTGAATGAAGTCATAGCTGATGGAGTCATGTTGAGTTCAAGATTTTTGGAGGAGGGACATGGGTCTAGGGAAGGAGAAGGAAGTTAACCCTATACACTGAGCTAGCCAACCCAGAGTTCAGTCATTTATTCATTCAAGAAATATTTATTGAGGATCTACTATGCACCAGGAACTATCCCAGGTGCTGAGAATTTAGCAGCAAATAAAGCAAAGATCCCCGCCCTTGAGGAGTTTGCATTCTGCTGTAATCAAGAAGCCAGCCTGACTTCTGGGCAATTTCATTTCATTTAATCCCATGGGTGGTGGGGTTTGAGGTATGAACAAGTGATGGTGGTCAGGCATGGCATGTCTATTCCCACAGCCCTCCTCACCCACTCGTGATGTTAGCAAATCAAAATGGTCAACATATTTCTCCAGTGTTTTCCAGGAGCCAGGCACTGTGCTGTGTTCTACCTCTGAGGGGTAGGTGTTCTGATTATCCCCATGTTCTAGGAAGGTTAAGAAAGCGGCTCTAGTCACACAGCTAACCAGCGGTTGTGCTAGATTTAAACCCAGGGCTTTCTGACTCCAGAAATGCACTGACCCCCTCCACCCCCGGGGAACCTCTTTAAAAAAAAAAAAAAAAACCAAGGGCCAGGCGTGGTGGCTCACACCTGTAATCCCAGCACTTTGGGAGGCTGGGGTGGGTGGACCACAAGGTCAAGAGATCAAGACCAGCCTGTCCAACATGGTGAAACGCCGTCTCTACTAAAAATACAAAAATTATCCGGGCATGGTGTCACGCACCTGTAGTCCCAGCTACTCGGGAGGCTGAGGCAGGAGAATTGCTTGAACCCGGGAGGCGGAGGTTGCAGTGAGCCGAGATTGCACCACTGCACTCCAGCCTGGCGACAGAGCGAGACTCCGTCTCAAAAAAACAGAACAAAAAAACACATCTTTATTATCTAGAAATCTATATTTTCAAAATTCCCCACAAAAGATGCTGCTCTCTTATTTCCCCCATTTTCTTCCTTTTCTTCCTTACCTCTACCATAAAGGACATTTTTATACTATATTAAAACTTCACCCAGATGTCCAGACGGCTCTCCACCTATGTATTCCTCTTATTTGCAAGCTGCATGTTCATGTAGCCATCTAAGATGCCAGATAGCCCTTGTACTCCATTCCCCACTTCATTTCAGCAGCACCGGCTTTCCTGTTAACCCACTGAGGAAAGCTTTGGGATTGAGGGGTAGACTTACTGTAACTATGGGCAAATGCTGCAGGCTCCTGGACAACCTCTTGGCCCCTTTTGCTGTACCCCTTTTTGTCATTGTTTAACAAACCATTTCCTGATTTCCCCTTTCTCCTTGCTTTGGAAAGGGACAATGTATCTTGTTCATTCCTGTGGTCCAGACACCTGAGTGAAGGCCTGGCACCCTTCATTCCTCCATCCCACTTTTTAAGAAGCTTTCTCTATGCTGAGTGCTGGGAATATAGACAAGTCACAGAACAAGACACACAGCCTGGGAGGGAAACAGGTAATTAACAGGTGTCACAGTGTAATGGGTCTGGTAGGATAATCAGAGGGACCAACCTTCCTTGGTACAGGAAAGGGCATCCAAGTCAGACCAGGGTGGTGGGGACCAATCAAGGAGAGCTGCCTGGAGGAGTTGACACCTGAGCTGAGTCCCAGATGAGAAGCAGGAGTTGAGCAGGTAAATAAAAACAGTGGGGCCAGGCACGGTGGCTCACGTCTATAATCTCAGCACTTTGGAAGGCCGAGGCAGGTGGATCATGAGGTCAAGAGATCGAAACCATTCTGGCTAACATGGTGAAACCCCTCTCCTCAAAATACAAAACTATTAGCTGGGCATGGTGGTGCACGTCTGTAGTCCCGGCTACTCAGGAGGCTGAGGCAGGAGAATCTCTTGAACCTAGGAGACAGAGATTGCAGTGAGCTGAGATCGCACCACTGCATTCCAGCCTGGGCAACAGAGCGAGACTCCGTCCCTCACCAAAAAAAAAAAAAAAAAAAAAAAGCAGTGGGGGTGTTCCAGACAAAGGGATAAGCACATGGAGGGTAGAGAGAGGCGAGATGGCAGCACATGAGATGGAGGCACACTCATCTCCCACTAAGGAGTCCTGCCTGGGCATCCTAGAACCCTGGGGCCAGAAGGATCTTTAATCATCAACAAATCCAACGTCCTCCTTTTCCAAATGAGGCCCAGAGAGGGGAAGCCATTTTTCCAAGGTCACATAGAAAGCTAATGATGGAGAATAGACTCAAACTCACTGCACTGCCTGGGTTTTGGATTTTCTTTTTTTTTTTTCTTCGATTCCCTCCCCCTGCCCTTCCCTCCCACAGTCCTCCAATTCATATTTCTCACGTGCCTACTTTGCACCAGCCCAGTACCCTGAGCTCCCTGCCCTAGAACCTTAGGCTTCCAGAGCCTGGGTCATCACCACCTCCTCCTATCAAACCTCCTCCCCACACCCTGTTCCTGCCTGACAGGTCATCACCACCTCCTCCTATCAAACCTCCTCCCCACACCCTGTTCCTGCCTGACCTTTCCTACACATTAAAAAATCTAGATGCCTATGTTGCTTCCCATACCAACAAGATCAGAATGTCTGGGGGCGGGGGCCAGGTGTCAGTATTTTTAAAGATCCCTGGATGATTCCATTTGTAGCAAAGTTTGAGAACCACTGTTTTAGCCTTGATGAAGGGCCCCTCCACCTCCTGTCCCTTGGCCTCTGGGTTGCAGATGACCTGGTGATGTTTCTTTTTCTTCCAGATGGACTTCTGGACTCAGGGGTCTGGGCCCCAGCACAGGTCTCTGCGGAGCAATCTTGTCTCCGCTCTGTTCCTGCCCTTTGTCCAGCCCTGGGCCTCCAATCTGCATTGATTACCTGGTCTGACCTATCTCACCATCACTAGGTACTTAATAAATACTTGCTGTTGATGATGGCAATGACCTTGAGACTGATGAACAGTCTGGCCAAGAGGATCCTTGATGTGGAAGATAGAAAAAGCCTTTGGGGTCAGGCAGACTTGGATTCTAATACCAGCCAGTTGTGCTTGCTGTGTCTGAGCCTCAGTTTCTCATCTGTGAAGAGGAGGTAGCAGGAATGAAAATGCTTGCCTTGCGGTTTGTTGTAAGGACAGACACAGCCAATGTAAGAGAGATCAGCAGCTCACAGACCAGTTGTTCTGGGAGCAGACCGCTCTTGCGCTGATGGTAGGGAACTATTTTTGTGCATGGCAAGTGGGACCTTAGGAAGGAAGGCAACTGTGAGGCTTCTGAGAAGGACCCTACACAAGGGAGTTTCCTCCCAGGACACGTGAATGGAGAGGGTGGCAGAAGCCTATGGGCAAGGGTCACAGGGATCAGCTACAGAGTGCCACCACCCTTCCTGGGGAATGCAGGGCAAGGTCCCTGGTGGGAGTTTTCCTGGGAAGCCAGAGAAGCACCCCATGAAGACAGAATCAACATTTGGGTACCTTCAGTACCCAGAGGCAGCAATGCCAACTACAACCACGCTCTGCATAGATTCTCTGATCTCTTCCTCCTTCATGGCACCAGCCCTGGGGAACCAGCATGGTGGGGAAATAATGAAGCTGGAATACAACCACTTATAGGCTTCACAACCTCCTCCTGTAGACACCAAATGGATTTTAGGATCACATTTTATTTCTCACCTGAGCAAGAAAAGCTACAGGAGCATCTCAAGCAGGGGGCAGGAGTCTCCAGAGGAGTTCAAGGGGCTCTGGCAAGAAAAATCAAGGGTCTGCATTCAAGAACTGGCTCCCCTGGCAATTGTATTACGAAGCCCATGTGTGCTGGGTGCCGGTGAAATTGCTGTCAAATGCCTGTGCGGCCTTGGCAAGGCCCTTTATTTCTCTGGGTCTCCGTTTCTCTAGCTGTGAAATGACTGTTCTAAAAGAGCCCTGCTGGACTTTGGCAGTCTGTAAGAAGACCTGAGTTCTCCTCTCAGTTCCAAGCAGGAAAATTGAACGTATCCTGAGCCCAGAGCCTGCAACAAACTCTGGGCAGCCTCAGGAAGTCAGGCAGTGAAGTCCAAAAAATGATCTCTTCTGTATAGGGAGGAAATACAAATTTCAAAATTTGTAGTTTGAAAATGTCAGTTGCTATGTTAATTTTTATGTTACTATTTTTCCCATTTCCTGGTAATGATATGCTATGTTATCTTTATTTATTTATTTATTTGTTAGAGATAGGGTCTCGCTTTGTCACCCAGGCTGCAGTGTAGTGGCACTACTATAAGCTCACCACTGTCTGAAATTCCTGGGCTCAAGTGAACCTCCCACCTCAGCCTCAGCAGCTGGGACTAAAGGCACATAATACCATGCCCAGCTAATATTTAAATGTTTTGTAGAGACTGTGTCTCACCTTGTTGCCCTGGCTGTTCTCCAACTCCTGGCTTAAGCAATCCTTTGACCTCAGCCTCCCATGTTCTTTTTTAAACAGCTTCTTTAGAGGACAACTTACATACCATAAAGTTCACCTCTTTTAAAAATGTACATTGCACCAGGCACGGTGGCTCACGCCTGTAATCCCAGCACTTTGGGAGGCCGAGGAGGGCTAATCATGAGGTCAGGAGATTGAGACCATCTTGGCTAACGTGGTGAAACTCTGTCTCTACTAAAAATACAAAAAATTAGCTGGTGTGGTGGCACGCGC